CGAGTAAAATATGAGAATTTATTAGCCATTGGCTAATATTAGACATCATTTAGTCGCCCAGAGTGAAGATTTAGTTGCATATGCGAGTGATTTACTGGCAATGTAGAGGGTTGTGACAAAAGAAAAATCACTCTGCTCAGACCTGGGGCCTGTACCATGAAGCCAGTTTAGCTGGCTAGCCAGGTAAGTTTCAGTTTAGTTTGCACCAATCCTGGGTTTTAGGTACCATGAAAGTGGCTTTGCTTTTAGTGGCATTCATTGCCTTAGTAACTTACACTCCACAGCTAACCTGCTCTGGGGCAGGTTATGTTCTGGTTTAGAGATCTCAAACCGAAATTTGACCAATCAGCTTCAAGCAAAGTGACACATCTCTGACACAATAAAGCCACTCCCTCAGTTTCTCTTACTCCAAATTAAAGGTGGGGTAAGTGATTTCTGGTAGCCAATGTTGACATCCCAAATCACCAAAACAAACACGCCCCTACCCCAAAAGGGTCTCGCCCCTATTTTGATAGCTCCGCCCCACGCATACGTACACAACCCAGGCAACGTTTAGTTCTGTGAAACAAAGCAAAATCAGTGATGCTGTCTACACTGCGGCGCGGCACGACAAATCCCAGACAGAAAACTGCTGCTGCGTTCTATTTATGACGTATTGACACAAATTTAAAATGATTTTCAACGGTCGCTTTGTCACATCTAGTGTAGACAGACTTTAGCTGTTGCGGCGCGGCGGTGTAGACACGGTGTTACTTACCTATCGAGAAGAAACAAAGCAACCTCGGCGTCCAATCGCAGGCCTTCCCGCTCCTTGAGTTCTCTCCAGCGCTGGAAAACTGATCCGATATTTACACGGGTCCTTCTTCTTGGCTTATCGTAAGCCTTCTTTTGTTCCGCAAACGTTTTCCTCTTTTGTTTTTTATCCGCCATCTTTATCTTTCTGTCGCTCGGCTCGCCTAATGTCCGTCATGTGCACTGAGTGCTCTCTCCTCTGCATCATGAGTAGACATGCCCCTTACTGCTGATTGGCTACAAGTTTGTTTTGGTACTCGGCCCGACTCAATTTTCTAAAGCGTTTTTGAAAAAATACATACCCCACCTTTAAAGGAAGCTACATAGTAAAACATTTTTAAAGATAAAATTGTCTGATTTTTAGAGATTATTTTTTATAATTATTTTATATGATTTATATAATTATAATACCCTTAATCCATTACACAAGCTAGCTTAGTTTAAGGTATTCTATAGTATTTGCTCACTGCACGTTGGGACAGTGATCACTCGAATTCCAGTGACATGACTACGTACAGCGTCAACGGACAACATAGAACGTCATCACTGGAATTAATAAACAACAGGACCAATCTCTTTTTGATATTATTTTTTATTCTCTTCTGTTACATGTTCTTACAACATTTCAGGTGAATATTAATTATAAATTATTAATTATTAATTATAAATGTTAATTAGATGTGTTCAATTCCTGTCTAGTGATGTGTGTTTATGTTGAAATATACAAAAAAACGGTTTGTCTTTTCAAATCTTCTATAGCGTGTCATATATTTATCGAGTTGGCTCGTGTGATTTATGTTTTACGCTTCAGAAATGTGACGTTATTTCCGGTAAGGGAGCATAGTAAGCACCAATGTTCCCTAGTTTTTGCGGTGCATTGTGGGATTTTTCAGGGAGCGAACGTTCCAGTGCACTGGAAGGATTTTTACCTTTTTTTGTAAAGGGCGTTTCACTTTCTTTGCACGTTCGTTTTGTAAACGCTGGGTCGGTGCTTCCGCCTACATCACGCGTGACCTTTCCAACGTGATTACGTAATGCGTGAAATCGAGCTTGTGCACAACGAGCATTTGTGGATAAAAAGTATACAAATGTATTTTTTTCGTTTTTTGTTTTTAGAAAATGACTGATCGTTTCGCTAGATAAGACCCGTATTCCTCGGCTGGGATCGTGTAGAGCCCTTTGAAGCTGCACTGAAACTGCAATTCGGACCTTCAGCCCATTGGTTACCATTGACGTCCATTATAAGGAGAAACATCCTGGAACTTTCTCCTCAAAAGCCTTAATTTCTTTGCGACTGAAGAAGACAAAGACATGAACATCTCGGATGACATGGGGGTGAGTAAATTATCAGGAATTTATTATTCTGGAAGTGAACTAATCCTTTAATGGAGATAAAGTTGAGCAGGTGGGATCCTTTAAATGTTTAGGTACAGAAATTGATTCCCAATGTTCATTTGATAAGCATTCAGACAATGTTTTTAAAAAGGCTTATCGAGGAATAAGCCTTAGCTTATTGAGGAAAATGAGGAGTTTTATTATTGAAAAGGACATTCTGGTAGTTGTATATAAATCACTTATTGAATCTGTTCTTGCTTTAAATATTGTATCCTGGTTTAACTCTCTTTCTGTTAAAAGCAAAAACAGACTCTTAAGGATTATTAATGTGGCCAGTAAAATAATTGGTCAAAGACAAGTAGGCCCACCTCTCACTGATCTCTATACTGTGGCATTATAAAGGAAAGCCCTCTTATTGTGGGAGACTCTTACCATCCCCTGCATAGTTCTTTTCAGTTACTTCCATCTGGCAGATGGTATTAAGTGCCTTTGGTGAAAAAGGCCAAGTATAAGAAGACCTATATCCCAACTGCCATTGGTATTTTAAATAGGATCTTAAAATGAATTTTTATTTTTGTTTTAGCAAATGGCTGCAATATAACAAAGAGTGAAAAATTGAAGGGGGTCTGAATACTTTCCGTACCCACTGTATGTAATATTAACTTTTGTTGTGATTATTATTTGTATTGTTTTTGGTTGAGCCTTTGTCTAAGACCATTTTCTACCACATTGGGGACAGACAATAAAGCAATTTGAATTTGATATTGGAGCCCTGCAGACCAACATACCCCCAACACAACCTGTCAGACTAGAGTTACTCCCCTTATGACTGGAGTATATATTTATATCACAAATGCCTCAAAAATGATTGTGCTATGTCTTTGTCATCTTTTCTTGCTCACTTGCTAATGGCAGCAAATTGTAAAGAACTCAAAAGTTGTAGTGTAATCTTCACGCTGTACAGGATGTTACACAAATACTTGAATTCCCACCTCTGCATACTGCCTCTGAAAGGTAGCTTTATTCAGATTTTGAATACAATCATTGCCACACTTTTGCTTTTCTTTTAGTTTATTTGCATCAATTTACAGCAACACGGACACATACAACATTATTATACTGTGTATCTACCTCTCTTGCATCCTTTAATGGAAATAAATTACATAGACTTTAACTTTCTTAAATAACATTGAAGTGAACAAACACTGAGCCTATATGCATGTAACTATGACATATAGAAATATACATGCCTCCAACTCCTTTCCATCACATAGGTAAATGATGAATATGAGAGGTGGAGAGAAGGTCAAAATAATGCATATTAATGTACATCGCATACTTTTAATGCAAGTAAATATTTATAAGCATGTTGTACCTTTCAACAAACAACAAAATTAAATCAAATCCAATGTATTTCAAGCTGATTTAATGTTATTTTGTTGTTCTGGTTTGACACCAAATGAAACTACATACATTTATAAAGAAAATATAGTGTTTAATGAGTATATCCTTGTAGCCTTAGGAATTGATTGCATCATGAGAAGTGCCTGTTTCATACCAGAATAAAGTTTGCTGTGGATTGTGGAGGACTACCAGCTGCCTGAAACAACCCAACCACTATCGTTTGACCTGGACATGGAAGCTGAAGGTCAAGTTTACCCTCCAGAGCATTTTGACATGTCCCAGTGGTAATGCTTAATTCTTCTTCAAAATTGTCATTATTTGTTATTATTGCTGTTAAGTATATTACATTGCTGTCAATCTGTATTAAATCACCGCACTAGTTGTACAATTTCAGAAAAGTTGCTTATGACATTATTTCTTTGGAATAATGTGCACCAATGAATCCTGCACAGTAAAAAAAAGAAGAAAAGAAATGTATTAAGTAAATAGGGTAATTTAGATGTTCTATTCACTCTTAAAACCAGCTCTTAAGATTTTTTTTTTTTTTTTTTGCAGAGCTACTGTATGTTTAGTGGAGGTTTATTTGCAGTCATTAATCATGAAACAAAAGTGTTTTACTGCAAAAAAAAAAAAACTGCACACATCTAATGCTATTTACAATGAACAAAAGCAATAAATTGACATTTAAGTCTTGTTGAAACAAGAAATAGCTCTCAGACATTTAATCAAAAATTGAAAATAAAGCTCTGTTCCAAAACCTAGTGAGCTGTCTTGCTGCCTGCATAGGCTTTCTACTAATTAAAATGAAACCTCGTAAGTGGCTAGTTTGAAATGCTCTACATAGGCAGCATCTCCATGTGCCACACAAATAGTACACTTCACATGAACAATTGATTCTAATAGCGATTAAAAATGTATAGAACATCTAAGTTAGCAACGCGATATTCTATATACAAATTAGTGAGTAAACAGACTTTAAATTTTTGAGTGTGTGTGTATATATATATATATATACTGTATATTGGGGTTGAATTTTGTTGGATGTATATATAAATATAAATATAAACATTAAATTTTTGTGGAAACCGTGTTACTTTTTTTCAGGATTCTTTGATAAAAGAAGTAGTTCAAAAGAACAGAATATAATTTGTATTTGTAACATTATAATAGTCTTTACTGTCACTTTTAATCATTTAGTGCATCCTTGCTGAATAAAAGTATTAATTTCCTTAAAAAAACAAAAATCTTGTTGACCCCTGACTTTAGAACAGTAATGTGTGTGTGTACATACATATATAGAGACAAAATAACAGAGACAGATTCTGTGATGTCCTTTGCCGTCTACAAGTTTTGGAACACAGCTTAAATATTTATTATTTGTTATATTTAATGTTTACTCTGTATGAGTTTCATTGATGCCTGTACTTACCAATACCATCAGGTGCAGATCAGTGAAATTCATTCTGGTGGATGGCTTTTCATGTGTCTTTTGGTGGCTAAAGGGTTGGCTTTTATAGTCTTGTTTCTTTAATTTTACTGTTGCCATAGTCAGACCACAGCACAGGACTGTAATGCTGCTGTGAGGTTATGCAGTCTCAGTTTCCATATGGATATCTTTTCATAACCCTGCCCCAATCTTCCTATCACTTCCTCCCACCTCCTCCATGTCATCCTCAGAGAACGGGCTGTCGGGGTGGTATCCTAATGCAGACGTGTGGTGCAGAAAGTCTGTGCAACGTGGTACATTAAGGTTGTCGTTTATGAATTTGTGTTGCCCTTCTTCCTCATCTTCCTCATCCTCCTCCTCAAGATCGTCCTCTTCCTCGTGCTCCTCCACACTCTGAGCGATGACCCTGCGGCCATCCCTTCCTGGCCTCTCATTGGTCGATTTGGTTCCCCCGCATTGACGTTTGACCTCGACCTGCGCGGCCTGTTCTTTAGCCTTACGACTCCGTTTCCACTTCATTCGACGGTTCTGGAACCAGATCTTGACCTATTTTACACACAATCCCACAAAGTTATCAGCAAAATAACCACTTTCTACCAAAGAAACAATAAACCAATAGAGAAATATAAAATAATTTATGGAAAAGACACCATGGTTTTTAGACAATAAACTACTGATAGTACCCAATGTACTGTTGTATATATACTACAGTTTAAAACTCAGTAAGATTTTATGCATACATATATATATATATATATTAAAATTGATCAAAAGTGACAGAAAAGACTTTTATAAAGTTAAAAAAGATTTCTATTTATCAAATAATCCTGAAAATTAATCATGGTTTCCACAAACATATTAAGTAGTTTAAACTGTTTTTAACATTGACAAAAACAAGAAATGTTTATGAGCATCAAATCCACATATTAGAATGATTTCTGAAGAATCATGTGACACTGAAAACTGGAGTAAAAAAAAAAATCAGCTTTGTCATCTCAGAAATAAATTACATTTTGAAATATATTTAAATAGAAAACCGTTATTTTTAACATTATGTCACAATATTACTTTTTTTTTTTCAAATAAATGCAGCATTGGTGAGCATAAGTGACTTTTTTAAAATATTCACAAATCTTAGGAAAAAAAACGCTAAACCTTTGAATTGTAATGTTTTAAAGTAACGTGGTGTTACCAAGATTTTTTTTTCAGCATCTAAATCCTCCACTCACTCACTTTCACACTCCTTTACCTGTGTCTCAGTCAGCATGAGCGATGAGGCCACTTCGAAGCGTTTGGGTCTGGAAAGGTACTTGTTAAGTTTAAACTGGTTTTCCAGCTCCAGTAGTTGTTGACTGGTGAATGCTGTCCGCGGCCTACGGCATTTACCCATCAAACCAGACTGGGGGGACGCTATAAGACAAACAGAAAGAATCAGGACATGAAGACCATAACATAAATTATGAACAGATTACATGAAAATACAATTAAATGAGTGTTTTAGTGTGGTGTTTTGATGCTAGGTTTGAACGTTTCTAATGTGTTTTGAGTGATTGTTAGGTGGTTTCCTACTGGTCCAAGTCAAAATAACCCACATTCAACTGATATTCTGTTGCTCAGATATGGTTCAGATTTTTAGATTTAGGGGTTTGTTCAAGCCTGAGCACTGCTAATAAATGCAATTATTCTGCTGCAGTTTAACATAATTTTATGTCTATCTAATAAAAAACTTTAAACTGGCTTGAACGTTTAGCAGCATTTGTACTTAAAGCCTGCACTAAAGTCATTGCTAAAACTGTAAATTTATTCCAAATTAATAACAGGCCTCTTGTGCCTGTATATAAAAATTAAGCACCAGCCAAAAGGAATGCAATCTGCTGTAATCCATGTCTAGATTATTTTTATGAGATTGTTGTCTCTTTTATATAATGTCAAGGACTTGCAGGGTCAGGCACACACACACACACACACACACACACACAAAAGAAAGACCAGAATTTGCAGCTATCATTTACCATAATAGCTTTACTGCAGCTTATTGTTAAACACAGAGGAAGCAGGGCTGGGCGGCCATAAAACGCAAGAGCAAGCCATTAACTTAATGAAAATTCAATGAACGCTTTTGGGATTTTATTGATTAACTACAGTATGTTTAAGGTGTTTGTTTATAGTATCTCTCTTACACAAAGACAATTTCCATCGAGCTGACGTTTATGGCTTTATAAAGAAGCCAAAAATAAAATTATATTATTACAGTTTGGTGTAAATCCTGGTAACACAAGATAAACCACTGTTAAGTTACACTGTCAAAATGACTATTGTTGAGTTGTCGTTTCTTTAACTATCCAAGGATAATATAATCTTTCAATCATATCTATACTGTAATGTCTGTTAAATATGGTAAAATATATTGGCTAATGGTTTGTTCACAACCAATTATAGTTTATTTGATTATATTATATATTTAAAATTTCTGCTGTCAATTTATAAAAATAGGTTACCCTGTATTTTAGTTATTCTATTATTATTTCTAATTGCAAATAAATTTAGAAATAATGTATAGATAGTCATAATTTCCTGATACTGCCTTTTGGGCACCTATTATATCTATATTATATAATTCCGCAAACTAATTTCGCCACATGTGACCACTATAATTTCAGTTTAATAATCCATCAAACAGGAGTTATAAACATCATAATTGCTTAGTGACAAATTAACTCCAGGTCTTTCAAGAGTCACAGGTGTGTAAACACCTCTCTCTCTCTCTCTCTCTCTCTCTCTCTCTCTCTCTCTCGCTCTGTTTGCTTTTCCTCACCTTTGATTATGTTGAAAAGGATTTCATGAGCTTTTACAATATTTGCTTTCAAACTGACAATGGCGGTAATGCAACTAAATTTGGCGTTTAACAGTAATGATACTATAATGATAGAGGTACACAATATGTGTATGATTTGGATAAAACATCCAGAGATGTTTCTATTAATATCAGATGGTTTTGTTGCTTTTAATTACATAAAATTGTAGTTTGCTCATGTGAATCCTGAGTAGTTCAAAACTGGAATAAAGAA